CATAAACGTTTGGGCTCAGGGCTTTCCTCTTGACTTCAGCCTCAAAACCACCTTTTGCCATTTTTGCAAAATCCGCGACTAAAAATACCGAACGTCCAGCCCTAGCTCCCAAACCAAAGGGGCCAGCACAGCAAGTTGGGCCTTGTTCTCGCTCTCTCCTGGAACCCCTTTCATCGCCCCACAAAAGTTTGGGCTCAGGGCTTTCCTCTTGACTTCAGCCTCAAAACCACCTTTTGCCATTTTTGCAAAATCCGCGACTAAAAATACCGAACGTCCAGCCCTAGCTCCCAAACCAAAGGGGCCAGCACAGCAAGTTGGGCCTTGTTCTCGCTCTCTCCTGGAACCCCTTTCATCGCCCCATAAACGTTTGGGCTCAGGGCTTTCCTCTTGACTTCAGCCTCAAAACCACCTTTTGCCATTTTTGCAAAATCCGCGACTAAAAATACCGAACGTCCAGCCCTAGCTCCCAAACCAAAGGGGCCAGCACAGCAAGTTGGGCCTTGTTCTCGCTCTCTCCTGGAACCCCTTTCATCGCCCCACAAAAGTTTGGGCTCAGGGCTTTCCTCTTGACTTCAGCCTCAAAACCACCTTTTGCCATTTTTGCAAATTCCGCGACTAAAAATACCGAACGTCCAGCCCTAGCTCCCAAACCAAAGGGGCCAGCACAGCAAGTTGGGCCTTGTTCTCGCTCTCTCCTGGAACCCCTTTCATCGCCCCATAAACGTTTGGGCTCAGGGCTTTCCTCTTGACTTCAGCCTCAAAACCACCTTTTGCCATTTTTGCAAAATCCGCGACTAAAAATACCGAACGTCCAGCCCTAGCTCCCAAACCAAAGGGGCCAGCACAGCAAGTTGGGCCTTGTTCTCGCTCTCTCCTGGAACCCCTTTCATCGCCCCACAAAAGTTTGGGCTCAGGGCTTTCCTCTTGACTTCAGCCTCAAAACCACCTTTTGCCATTTTTGCAAAATCCGCGACTAAAAATACCGAACGTCCAGCCCTAGCTCCCAAACCAAAGGGGCCAGCACAGCAAGTTGGGCCTTGTTCTCGCTCTCTCCTGGAACCCCTTTCATCGCCCCATAAACGTTTGGGCTCAGGGCTTTCCTCTTGACTTCAGCCTCAAAACCACCTTTTGCCATTTTTGCAAATTCCGCGACTAAAAATACCGAACGTCCAGCCCTAGCTCCCAAACCAAAGGGGCCAGCACAGCAAGTTGGGCCTTGTTCTCGCTCTCTCCTGGAACCCCTTTCATCGCCCCACAAAAGTTTGGGCTCAGGGCTTTCCTCTTGACTTCAGCCTCAAAACCACCTTTTGCCATTTTTGCAAAATCCGCGACTAAAAATACCGAACGTCCAGCCCTAGCTCCCAAACCAAAGGGGCCAGCACAGCAAGTTGGGCCTTGTTCTCGCTCTCTCCTGGAACCCCTTTCATCGCCCCATAAACGTTTGGGCTCAGGGCTTTCCTCTTGACTTCAGCCTCAAAACCACCTTTTGCCATTTTTGCAAATTCCGCGACTAAAAATACCGAACGTCCAGCCCTAGCTCCCAAACCAAAGGGGCCAGCACAGCAAGTTGGGCCTTGTTCTCGCTCTCTCCTGGAACCCCTTTCATTGCCCCATAAAAGTTTGGGCTCAGGGCTTTCCTCTTGACTTCAGCCTCAAAACCACCTTTTGCCATTTTTGCAAAATCCGCGACTAAAAATACCGAACGTCCAGCCCTAGCTCCCAAACCAAAGGGGCCAGCACAGCAAGTTGGGCCTTGTTCTCGCTCTCTCCTGGAACCCCTTTCATCGCCCCATAAACGTTTGGGCTCAGGGCTTTCCTCTTGACTTCAGCCTCAAAACCACCTTTTGCCATTTTCGCAAATTCCGCCAGTAAAAATACCGAACGTCCAGCCCTAGCTCCCAAACCAAAGGGGCCAGCACAGCAAGTTGGGCCTTGTTCACTCTCTCTCCTGGAACCCCTTTCATCGCCCCATAAAAGTTTGGGCTCAGGGCTTTCCTCTTGACTTCAGCCTCAAAACCACCTTTTGCCATTTTTGCAAATTCCGCGACTAAAAATATCGAAGGTCCAGCCCTAGCTCCCAAACCAAAGGGGCCAGCACAGCAAGTTGGGCCTTGTTCTCGCTCTCTCCTGGAACCCCTTTCATCGCCCCATAAACGTTTGGGCTCAGGGCTTTCCTCTTGACTTCAGCCTCAAAACCACCTTTTGCCATTTTTGCAAAATCCGCGACTAAAAATACCGAACGTCCAGCCCTAGCTCCCAAACCAAAGGGGCCAGCACAGCAAGTTGGGCCTTGTTCTCGCTCTCTCCTGGAACCCCTTTCACCACCCCACAAAAGGTTGGGCTCGGGGCTTTCCTCTTGACTTCAGCCTCAAAACCACCTTTTGCCATTTTTGCAAAATCCGCGAGTAAAAATACCGATCGTCCAAGCCTAGCTCCCAAACCATAGCGGCCATAGCAGCAAGCTATGCCTTGTTGCTCAGATCTAAGACCCTGACCTTTTCCTCACACCCTGACCCTGACCCTAAGCCCTAACCCTACCCCCTAACCCTAAATCTAATAGCTGCCCCTAACCACAACCCCTAACCCTAACCTCTAACCCTAAGCCCTAACCCTAACCCCTAACCCTGACCCAAACCTAACCCTAACCCTAACCGTAGCCCTAGCCCTAAATCCTAACCCTCACCACTAACCCTAACCCCTCACACCTAACCCTAACCCCAACTCCTTACCCCAACCCCTAACCCTAAACCTAACCCCTAACCCTTAACCCTAACCCCTACCCCTAAGCCACCCCCAACGACCCTAGCCCTAGCCCTAACCCCTAACCCTAACCCCTAACCCTAACTTCTAACCCTAACCCCCTAACGCTGACCCTCCAAACCCTAACCCCTAACCCTAATCCCTAACCCTAATAGCCCTAACCCTAAGAGCCCTAACCCGAACCCCTAACCCTAACCCCTAATCCTAACCCCTAATCCTAACCCTAACTCTAACCCCAACCCTAACCCCCAACAGCGCCCTAACCCTAACCCCTACACCTACTGCTAACCCCCTAACCCTAACCTAACCCTAACCCCTGACCCTGCCCTAACCCCTAACAGTAACCCTAACCTAACCCTAAGACCAAGCCCTAACCCTAATCCCAACCCTACCCCTAAGAGCAGCCCTAACCCTAACCTAACCCTAACCCCTAAACCTAATGCTAACCCCCTAACCCTAACCCTAGCCCTAACCCCAACCCCTAATCCTAACAGTAACCCTAACCTAACCCTAAGCCCTAACCCTAACCACCTAACCCTAACTGTAACCCTAAACCCTAATGCCAACCTCTAACCATAATCCTAATGGCTAGCCCTAACCCTAACTCCTCACCCCTAACCCTTAATCCTTACCCCTAACCCTGACCCTAACCCTAATGACCCTAAACCTGACCCTAAACCTAACCCTAACACCTAATCCTAATACCCTAACCCCTCATCCTTAACCCCTAACCCTAACGGCTGACCCTAACCCTTACCCTAGGGGCCCTAACCCTCACCCTAACCGTGTTGATAAAGCAATCACAGAAAAAAAAATTGAAAAAGCAATGAGGTACAGGACAGACAGGAAAAAAATTAAAATAGGGACACCAAAGTTGATAAAAGTGGACATAGAAACTATTTTAAAACCAGTGGTTTTAGAGATGAAAAGATGAAAAAATAGGGACAGTGAACTAGAAAGGATGTCTCGAAATAATTTTTTTTAAAAGGCAGCACTATGGCTGATCAAGAAATAATTCAAAACTAAAGACATCAAAAAGCATAGAAGTAGACATAGAACATTTTCAAAGCAACAAGGACTAGCAGAAGAGAAGAAAAAAATTAACAAATAGGGACAACTAACTAGAGACACACAAAGTAAATTTTTAAAGCAATGGGGTACATGACAGGCAGGAAGCAAAACACAGGGAGACGGAGCTTGGCAACAGTAGGCACAGAAGGAAAATTTTAAAAGTCATGAGGTACAAGACAGACAGGAGAGAACTAAAAATAGAGAAGGAACACTAGATAGAATTAAGACATAGAAGCAACATGTTAAAAGCCAAGGCATTAAAAGAGTAAAGAATTACACAATATTGACAGCTAATGAAAATGCAGACATAGAAAATTTTAAAAGCAAGGGCACTAAGACAAGAAATAACGAAGAAAACAGCAAACAGGATAAAGGTAGTAAGAAAGATTAAGGAAATAAGGAAAAAAAAAGAGGCGGCAAAAGACGAGTGACCATGAGGGGATCCTGGATGGCCTCAGGATACATTGGGACAGGGAACAGAGGGGTCTTGGGGGAGCTAGTGACAAAAGGCGGCTTGGGGACATGGTGAGGAACTTGGGAGGGGGATCTGATCAGAGTACGGATGTCCTGACATGGAACTGAACAGAGGCACCTGAGATGGCAGAGAGGTCCAGAAAAGAAAAAAAAGGGGATCCTGAGGGGGAGCAAGGAAATGAAAGAGGGCCTTGCGGAGCCATGGGAGGCACCTGCTGCCCACTCTCCTCAGCCTTGCAGGGGAAAGAGGGATAGGCAGCCAGCTAAAGACATGGCAGGGGAGCCAGTCAGAGGGATGGGGAAAGAATGATCACGAGTAGGACAGAAAGTGTCCTCACGGTGATGTGTTGAAAGTCTCTTTCCTGCTTTTTAAGTCCCCTCAAGAGGCATATCGCCAAAGAGTCTACAAACAAGAAATGAGTAGCCATAAACTGATTTTATTATTTTTGAAAAATGGAATGTTTCACTAACAGAAACTTTCGGTGATGTTTGACCAAGAACACATTTATTACAAAAAAAAAAAAAAGGAACCAAACTGACAAGTTGACATAATATTTGGCTACAATGTGGCAGCAGTCTTGCTTTTTGTAATCACAAATTCAAGGTGACCCTGGTTAAGAGAATTACCACCATTGTCATCTGGCAATAAAAAAAAAAAATATATATATATATATATATGTATATATATAGTGCTTTCAGTAGCGGCGGGTAAAACGGGGTTCAGTCGGTCTGTTTGTCCGCTCCTGGCCTGCAAACACTCCTTGTATTCCACTACTCTGCATCATCTGGCTCTGGTTTCCAACTTGTGTGAAGCCTCCACGCCTGAAAACAAAACCAGACAAATTGAAAATTGCCCAGAAAAGTTAATACTGCATGACACTGAGAAAAGATGTTTACTTAGTTTTTTTTCTACTTGCCAACCCATAGTTAAGTTGAAGCTGAAAGTATTATTTTTCACAACTGACACAGGAATTTCTTTGTTTATACAATCAGTCAACTATTATAAAAACATTATAAGCACTCTGACAAAGCTTCTTACCCCGACATCCCTCCTCGATTCATCACATGGCCTGGTCCTGACTGACCAGGCATGCTTCTATCACCACCTAATTTCAAAAAAAGAAAAAAAAAAAAGGGGTGGGGGGGGGGGGGGGGGAAAGACAGACTTTTGTGTTTTCCTAATAAAAAAGCCACCTTCTTCCCAGAATTTTATTTTGCTTTCTTGGTAATGCTGTTAAAGCTCCATAGGAATTTTAACTACCGCTAGAAGTTCAGCAGCAGTCATTCATAGAAAAAACCACGATCACACTGGTAAGCAGCAAGTGTACCTTGCCATCTCTCATGATCCCGTCCCATCATTCCTCCATCCACATTTCCCTGCCATGAACGATCTTGATGCCCCTCTAACTTTCGACCATGATCTCCCCAGTCACGTCCATCTCTTAAAAAAATAAAAGAACATCTTCTAGGTGTGTCCCTTATCCATTTAGCAGCATAGGGTAAAGCCAAACACCATACCCCATACAAAAGTGTATTAAATAATTGTTAATCAATCTGTATCTATAGCCACCCAATCACTGCAATAAAAACTGGTCAAAGAGAAATGACAAGAAACTGGCTGAACAGCATCCTTCACAGAAAAAAGCTCGTCTTTTTCTGATCTACAGAGACATAATTAGTATTGCAACATACTAAAACACTTAAACACGGAACAATTCATTGACCTCCGTTCCTCTGTCTGGTACATTTATGTACAATACAACATTATGCATCTGGAATATACCTAGCTTGACTAGCTGGTTTAAAGAGAAACCGGTACAATTCCCGTTAAGTCTCTGTTCCCCACCCCCACTGCTGCAGATTCTGACTTGATTTCCTTAAAACCTCATCGCTAGCCACAAATGAGACTTTTGTAAGCATTACTGGAGCATTCGGTACAGGACTGAATCTCATCTGTAGAAAAGAAAGTTATTAACAAGAGAACCAGTTACAAGCTGAGCTAACTGAGCAGTGCTTCTTTACTCACTACAACGCTCCATTCTCTTGATGCACGGGGGAGCTACATGTGTGAATTCCTTGTTTCTCCAGATGCTCGAAGAAACTATCTGGAGAGAGGATTCACACTGTCAAACTGCTTCCGCTGTCACCATTCAAAGGTTCGCAGAGTGTTAAAATTTTAAGAACCAACAAATCACTTCCCTTATTTCATATGCACTAACCGAGTTTGTGGAGGTATCCCTCTCCCTTCACTCATTCTTCTGTCAGACCCATAGCCACCCCAACTATCCCGGGAGTGACGATCAGGCCCCCCATGGCGTTCATCTGGGTAATGCTGGAAGGCAAACGGTACAGAGTTATACTAAGAATCAATACAGGTTTTCTTTTAGCGTTGCAAAAATTCAGCTCCTCAGAAGTTGCCTTTCTGTAAGCTGTCAGAAAATAAAACAGTAGCTGTCTCAGATCTACTTGCTTCCATTGTCATTACTGTGCGTAGTTCAATTCAGGCATTTGGTTTGTTTCACAGTACAGATTTCACTCCGCTCACTGGTGGAAGAAGGCTTTTTGCTTAGTGTGGTGTTTTTAATGCTTACATTATGGCTCCAGATTTTTAATTTTTACAGGGAGTACCTGTCTACTTCCTACCTCTCTTCAGAAACGAAAGGTTTCGTATACCATTGCAGTACTGGTTTTCACACCTGTCCTTTTACCGTCACCTGCCTTATTTCATTATGACACTAGTTATTTTCTACAAAACATTTAGATAAACTTAAGAGAAGGGATCCTTCGCCAGCTAAGGATAAGACACAACACTGACCCTCTCTTAATACACTACAGACACTTAAGATGGTTAGCCAGTAAATTTTTATTGCCACGTACCAGCCTGAAAAGATGCTGTACTGTAGCTCCAATTGCTTGGAGGCTTCCCCCACCCCCCACTCCGCCCCGATCTGCAGCTACCGCCCTGGAGAGCAGATAATTTAATAACTTACATTCCGCACATTAGTGTGCAAAATCAGTTGCTGCTTAAACATCTGCTCAATTTAAACCCAGTGGTGGTTGCATTTAAGAACCAGCCAGCATGCACACTGTGTTCTTTCCACTTTGGGGTCAGTTTGTTTGGCTTTTTAACTGAAGTGGTTATTTAGGTATAACCCACCTGGCCATCTCGATCTGGTACTCCTCTTGAACCGTCTCTTCTAGAACAAAAAAGAGAAGTTTCAGTTGAATTGACACAGTGATCGAAATTCCCATGCTTGTATGAAATACTGCGTGAAAATTTCTCCTCATTAGGTTGTAAATCTGAGAATGCCAATGTTTGGTTAGTGGTAAGATATTCAAATGAGTTCTTGTTTCATAGCATAGAGAGAGATCAAAGTAACATCTATTACTGTAATATGTGTAAGCAAGACATCACCAAGGCATGGTCAGGTACTCAATGGTATCAAGGAAGAATACCAAGTGGACCTACCAGTATCAGAAATGAGTTACAAGCAAAAGCAAACAAGTATGGCTTTTGCCAAAGATCCTTTGAGAGCAAAACAGAAGTCTCAATAGCACTCCGCAGAAAGTATTTTTGCGTTCTGTGGAACTAAAA